AACCGATATTTGAATTTCGACTCAAATCACCCGATAATGGTTAAAAAAGGTATCGTAAAAAGTCTATATGATAGAGCAAAAATAATTTGTAATCAGTCTAATTTTTCCAAAGAAAAATAATTTATAAAAGAAATTCAAAATTTCAATAATTATCCAAATTCTTTTATTGAAAAATGTTTTAACGAAATTGACTGTAGTAAAAGACGTGAAGAAATTCAAAGAGGACATTCAAGGAGACAAAAATTTTTGAAGCGAAATACCCAACAAGAAGTTTGTAAAAAAATGAATCCGCCCCAACAATATAGAACTTATCTCTAATAGATGTTTAAAACGCCTGGCTGGCTCTGTTAAGCCTAAAAGATACTCAAACTACGTCGTCTTTTGGAGTGAAATACAAATTTGAGCGAGATCTATGTGATTTTTCCGTTGTTTTAGAGCATCGCTGAATGTATCGGGCCACCGAACGTTGGGTCATTACGTGCCCAAACACGATAACAATAGGGAGTACGCCAATATACCTCCGCCCTCTGGCTTGGATAACAGCAGGCATAATAACTATGGAGGTCGAGCCGGTAAGTTTTATCAACTAGGTATAACCTGATAGGGAGAACACTTTGTATATTTGAGTTCTGTGGCAATTCAGGGATTGTCGACACCTTATCGCGGCTCAAATTAGGCGTGCTAGTGTGAGTGACATGCATACAAAGGCGTCAATTATGCGCGTCGACGCTGCCTAGAGCGTCGGTCGTCGGCAGCGTCGGCATCGCATTGTAGGCCCCTCGTCACGCCCGCAAACAATACGTCGACACAATGCGGGGCCTGCCGGAACCGATTAGTTTGTCAAAACAGAAATTATTAACACACAATGCCGAGGGGAGGTGCAATTGACACAATGATATTCGCCGGTTATGATGTGTATTGGCCTGATACTTCCGAAGGTCCGATTTTTAATTTGTTTGCCAAACAAATGGCTCTTTTGTCGCGTCAATAATCCAAACGTACACTCATTTTTCTGGACGAATTAACTTGTAAACTAGCAGGAGTTTGGATGGTTTAACAGCCAGAATTCTGGCAACGGCACCGTAAGCAAACCTAGGCTGTTATCGAAGTTTAACGCCTTTTCAACTTCCCACAAAGGACTTCAATCTGGGCCGGACAATGGCTCGGAGCATTCCTTCCGGAATATTTGGGCTTCCAATTTAAACCAGAGTGGGTCGTTGGAATTGCCGGTGTCAGATTGCCTGGACCGTGCAAGCCTATTTTTCTTCCGTGTTCAGTCGGTTTGAATATTATTAAAATATATCGTCTATATAGCGCAACATAGATGGAATCAAAGGAAAAATAGCTGATGCCTCTGGTGACACGTTTCGATTCGTTGCAAATTGCGGCCCAAAACATGCTTATTGAATTTTACGCCCTGCTAACCATTCCATTCAGCGAGTTATCTGACCGACAGTGATGTCCCCAATTTCGCGCACGAGTCCCCTCAACAGGCATTAGCCCTAAGCAACTCCTCAGTTCTATTAACTAAAGCGGTCAGTGTTTTCGAAATTCAATTTAGATGTTTGGGCTCGTCATGGAAAAACCTTTGTTTTTTAGTTTATGATAACATAAAACAATACTTACGCACTTTTCAATATGTTTAAAGGCTTGCACAAGCTGAGTAGAACCGAACAAAGCCAATCACAATGACATCTGATCAAAACAAGTGTCAAATTTCGCTAGTATAGTTATTAGTTATAATTTAACCGCCAGTGGGCGTTTCGACTTTTGAACGTTGTCAAAACAGTCAGCTGACAGTCAGAGACAAACAGTCAAGCTGTTAGAATCGTGGGTGGCGAAAGTTACAGGATGAAGGAAATTTAAATAAACTATGGGG